CGAATTCAAGAACCTTATAAACCCTTCCGACTACACTCTTTTACTAAGTGGTTGGGACAGGGGAAGCTCCAGAGCCCGCATACTTGTAGTCCTCAGTAGAGTTAACATGTATATCTTCAGTAGGTAATCATCCTTTAGAAATAAAATTATAAACATTGCTTTGGCTTAACTAAAGCTTATCTTCAACCCTCTCCTCCAGCCTCTACGACTGTTATTATTATTATTTCCCATGAAAATTTATATTAACAAACGAAACAAACAGCAATGCCAGTTTTGAATGGCAATATGCGAAAGTTCGGGTCAATTGATCAAGCTACCTAGCTCTCGGATTATTGCAATTAGCCTATAGAACGGCTAACCCCTCCCCAGCTTCGGAATATATTCCGGCAATCTAAGTGAGACGAAGATTGAAGGGGGGGTTAGTAATAGAGTAGTTCTGCAACACAATTTAAGTCTTCCTTGTTGTATTTTGTGACGATTTGATTGGATCGAATAACTGGTTCCGAGACTGGAATAACTGCTGGACAATATATGCAATACCAATGCCATTATTTATTTTGCTCGAATGACAGCTTATATACTCAAAGACTATATTGCTTCTTCTCCTTCAAGAGTCTCTTCCACTAATATGATCAAGAGAATATGATGTCTCTGCCACATGAACTTCTTCTGCACGTGTATCATGACCCAATCCATAATTATACTACCACACAATGTTCCACCACGCCCTCCTACCCACCCTCACAATCCTAACCTCCCTCCCAACCCCCACCACCGCCTTCTGGATGCGCTTCATCTGGAAAAATGGCCTAACATCTCCAACGGGCGTCTACGACGGCACCTCCGGTCTAATCCTCTACTCCTTCACCGAATCAGCGCCTCTACTCTCCGACACTCTAACATTCCCAGAAGGCGCCACGCAATGCCAATTAATGCAGGACCTCGCACCACACATCTACGGTCCCAAAGATCCCGTTCCGGGGATAATTCTAATCATGGATTCTCCGAGGGTGGGGAGACAGGTTGAGTATTTGTTTTTCTTTGAGGATGAGGTTTGTGGGGGGGCGCCGGGGATGGTGTTGAAGCTTCAGGCGTCCGGGGGGGAAGGGGGGAGTGGGAATTATTATTTTGTGAGTTTGATGGATTATGCGGTGCCGGTGTTTAAAAGTTGGAAACAGGGGGATGTTGAGGATCCTATTGATAAGAAGGTTATTGAAGCATATGGTCGACCGGCACAGGGGGGTACAATCTATCCGAGTAGAGCATTCGTCAATATCCCCGAACAAGACCTGGGGGGTTCCATGAAATGGCGACACATCATCCGAGACGAAAAAATACAACCCAGCACTCTCCTCATGAACGACGCCCAAATAGACAAACTCCTGGGTAATAAATTAATTCAACTAATAAGCATCTGGCTAAAGAACGAAGAGGAGTATAAAAAACAACAAGAGGGATTAGATGTAGATTTCGGATCCGAGAGTTTTAATTTCGTGCCGATGGAGTTTATTTTGGGATCGCAGAAGGTGGCGGCTTATATGGTACAGGAGGGGTTCAAGAGGCAGGGACTACCGGTACCGCTTATTCGGCCCCAACAGGATCAGGGGCTGCGGAGAGGTACTACTAGTCGGCAAGCTGGTGTACAGCGAGGAAATAACGGAGCGAATGTTCCTGTTAACGTTGGCGCACAGCAAAATCGTGGTTCTATGGTCCCAGAGGAAGAAGATCGAGAGGATTTGAATTATCCAGTCGATCGTGTATCGCAACAGGCGGGTGTGAATGCGCAATATCAGAGCTACGATCCAGCTGGATTCCAACAGGCGCAATATTCAGGTAATCTGCCTCCTCAATTCCAACAACAGCAGTATTATAACTATAATCCGTCTGTGCCGTGGCAAAACCCGGAGTATAAACCATCAGACCGGCGGTACGAGTGGAATAGCGATCAACGAGGGTCGGAAGCATATAATCCAAACCCAGATCCTATGATCTTAGAAGATCCCAACTCGAATACTTAGGCTGGCATTTGATTTAGTAGAAGTTGATCAAAGGTCTCTGGTTTTTAGCTATTAGTATACATCCTATCATTCACAGCGTAAATCCTGAGACAATTGGTGTATAAACACGTTGACATGTTTAAACGTTTATTTACCCACATGGGAACCGAATATTCAAGAACAATTATTCGTTGAAATATTTATATCCAAGTCTTCATATTATTTACACCTGAGCTCGAGTGTTCTATATACCTTCCTAGGTCCATTTCTGGAGTATGTTAACATAAGCCTCAAACATCGTAAAACATGCTCAACCATGAGTTATCAAAGCTAGGAGGGAATCCACGTTCTATAGCCACTCTACCTCGCCTTAATCATCTTCTTCCAAAAATGTAACTCGTCTAAACGTCGATTAATTAATTAATTAAAAAAATGCGGCAACCACGTATCCTCCTCCTAACCACCTGCTTCCTCTTCCCCCCCACCCACGCCTTCTACCGCCTCTGGGGCTACACCGACCTCCGCCGCAACCTCGAAAACGAACGCCTCTTCAAAGCCCAATCCTCTCTCCTCACCCGCGGCGGAAAACAAAACCAAATCCCACTATGCCATTCCTTCCCAGAACCAAGCGACACCCTCCTCGGCGTAATCCGGGTCGTAGGAATAATGAACCACCCAGACCTTGCGAATCCAATCCAAGCGTTAGGATTATGGGAAGAAAAAGATTTTAATTGCGCACCTTTTTTACCGCGGTTGGTGGTTTATTTCCAACCGGGGCAGGAGACGCAGATTATTGATCTTCGACCGTTTGGAGGGGAGTGGGTGTATTCGAATTGGAGACAGATAGTACCTGGGGATCAGTATTGGAATGCATTCGTTGCGCCGGAGATAGCGAGGGGTGATAAACCCGGTACGGGGTTTGTGAAGAAGTTGACTAGAGTGGAAGGAAACCATAATTTCGCGGAGAGGATAGATACGGTCTGGAATACACAAGTACCAGAAAACTCATGGATAATCGATAAACGACCTGCGATATTACAACGTGATGCTTCGAAGTCTGGGTTTGAATCACGGTTTAAAACGGAACTTGGAACGCTACTTCAGCAGGAACAGGTTGAGCCGTTAAGTGACGAGAAGGCTTTGGAGTTAGCCGTGGAACTTAGTGTGATGAAACAGGCGTTAAGAGAACAGTATGGGAAATGGCAGTTGAGTAAGCTTGAGAGGCAGATGGAGGGCCGTCCGCAGAAGGAGGTCAATCATGATCAATTTAAGAAGACGATAAAGACGGGGACTCCGGTGTATTTGGATCCGTTCATGATCTGGGGTCAAGGACAGGTTGAACAGCAAGAACAGATAGGGCAGCAAGGTCGAGTCGAACAGCAAGAGCAAATAGGAGATGAAGTCGCAGAGTCCCCCATCGAGGTGAAGCAAGAAGTTGGAATAAATATAAACAGGCAAGGAATAAAGAAAGAGGAAGTAAAAGAAGAAGAAGAAGAACCAGCAGACACAAATACCATCTCTTCGAACCTCCAAACCTTCATTAACCCCAACGATCTAAGATATCAAGACCCGACCCTCGCCATGCAAGCGTATATAAACAACCTCCGTACAGCCCAATTACACCAGCCAAACCCTCTGGCACCTCTCATCCAAAACTACAACCCCCTCGCCAATATCCGCATCCCAGAACCGATCGCATACGCAAACCAAAATCTAAACTCGCAATGGACCTCTTCATTCGAGGAAATGATAACAATGAAACAGCAGGAGTTAATCCAAAAGGAGCTATTGCGTGAACGAGAAAACCTTGAACAGTATATATCCAACAGTGGATTTCTACCGATCAGACCTCGTCTGACCCCGAACCAACAGGTTGGCTATATACCAATACTGGAACCTGAACTGGAATCAGAATCTTATAGGCTTTCTGCCCCCGTTACTCGACTGGATGAATATAAAGGAATGAAGAATAACCCATTAATCAATTCAAACAGAATTCTACCACCTGCAAGCGAGATATTACAGAGAATTGAAGCCCAACAGCTACGTAAACAACTTGCTCCAAATGATAATCTTCAGCAACCGACGTGGTCACAGTTTCAAGACCGAAGGGAGGAAACGAAGGAGCAAGAGCAACGTCCCAATCCAAACCAACTCCAAGGCGTCCAAGCCTATATACGAGATTTTTTAGATCGAAACACAAAGGTGGATAAAAGGAAACCAAAAGACACATAACCTTTGACATTATTCCATCTAAATCTAATTTTGTATCAAGTCATATATAAAATCCAACAGTACACTGAACAAAAAAAATTGCAAAAAAATTGCAAAAAAAGTGATATTGACATCTGCGCGGTTCGAACGCGCGCGCTCTTTCGAGCATTGGTGTGATTTAAGTTTGATAGTTAGACAAACATAACTTAAAACCAACTCCATAACCACTCGGACAAGATGCCTGATCGGAGCTTTGAACCTGCACTTGCGATATACCAAGCTTTATCGGAATCGTCTGAGGCAACACTTCAACACAGAATCCGGACGTCTTGGGCTCGTGATGGATTGGTTCGTTCATTTCCGGAGTTATGGGAGTTTGTGTGGGTAATAGAAATGCTACTGGCTTGAGTTCATAATTGCAGTATTTCATCTTTCAATTAATGCTGTAGTTTCTATTTAAATTGATATTATGTTATAAATGTCTTCAGCCGATCAAAACTGATTTCATCCGATCTCGAAATCTAAAACACCAGCCCATTCACACTTCTCCATATCGATATCTTGAAGATTAATCAAGGCAATCATCCCTACACTAGATGCACCAGAGCTCTCGTGACCATACCGTAACCCCGCCAAACCCTCAAAAAAAAAAAAAAAAAAAAACCCTTAGCGGGGGTGGCTAAATCCACTACCCCCTGTCATATTCCAAAAAAATCTCCCCCATTGCTTTATCAATTAAAAAACTAGATCAAAATTAAAAGATCAAAAAGAAAACTCCTGAAGAAGTTCTGGAGACACAGGGAATTGAACCCGGGACCTCATCCATATTGTTTTGAGTACGCTAAGGAAGCGCTCTACCAACTGAGCTATATCCCCAATTTGATGAGATCTCACATTCTTGAAGACTCTCAACAGGCTTTTTGCAAAGTTTTCATTGTGGGTGTGGACGGATTTGGTAAGTACCGAGGCTTTTATTAGTGGGTTGGCTTGATTGGGAAGGTTTGGAGGGTTGGAGGTGGAGGGTTAAGTTCTGTTGGGAAGAAGAGAGTAAGAATAAATCTTTCGAGTAGGGTCTACAAATTATTAGTTCTATTCTTACATTCAAAAGCAAATTATGCCATCTAAATTAACATAAAAAATAGCCTATGCATCAAGCGTAGTCTCGGGGCTACAGCTACATCAAGCGCAGATGTCATAATATATGAAACCCGTTGCATGTTGGATATTCTAATTTTTATTTGCGTTGGCTATTGAAAATCCAACATCAGACAACTTGTATTCAAAGCGCCGTGCATCATTTTTTTGCGAAGACGGGTCTCGATCGACCGCGGTACCGTGTATATGATAACGGGGTATGCTGTGGTTGATTTACTTATACAAAATTACTGGTCTATAGTTGACCATCATGTAAAGTATGATACAAATAATTATATTGTGAGGTGAGATTTTAATCAACTAAGAAGGTGGTGATATACTGGTATAGCGAATATAATTTCTCAAAGTGAGTGGAGGATGTAGACATATGCCCACCTGTATACTCTTATGAACCACAGTGCAAGCTTCTTTCGAGAACAAATAATAATTTAGATTCGAAGTTCTATCACAAAAATTAGCAAACTAATACAGGAGTTTTAATAGCAAAATGTTAAAATTAAATCTACCAAAGGATATCGATATCAATAAAAAACATTCAAAACTTCCAACAAAGCGCCCTCCATTACTCTCTCCCTCTCCACCATTTTATATCACAAAATACTTTCCTAATAAGCAGCCGGCGTAGGTTCCACAAGTTGCACCGTCGGAATAGGCTCCGTCAAATAAGGCCGCGGAGACGGCTTAGGAAGATTATCATAATCCGTAGCTTCCGGCCCATAATCCGAGTAAGTAGGCCGTCCCTTCGCATACCTAACAGACTCATTCTTCCCCTTGCCCCCATCAAGTAAAGAAACACAAAGCCAGCGTCCAGGGCTACAGGTACAATTATCAGTAGGTTGCATTCCATTCCAGGCTTTAAGCAGATCCATCTCCAATGCGATTCTATCGGCGACACCCTGGCAGGTATCGCCTTCTTTGATGAGGTACCATTGGTTGCAGTTGGTGTTATAACTCTTGCCTTCGAGTTTTCCGGGTGGGACGGTGCAGTGCGGGATTTGGTTGTGGGTGGTGCAGAGGTCGACGTTTGAACCGTCGGTTTTGAGTTTGCTGAGGGTTTGAGGGCAGGGGACAGTGGTTATTACTGTTGTTTCTGGACAGCCGCCGCATTTTGTGGTGGTGAATGTTATTGTTGACCAGGAGATTGAGGGGGGGGTTGAAGGGGCGGTTGTGAGTGGAATGGGGGTCTCGGGGGCCCAGGTGGTTGTGCTGGGGGTGAAGGTTGTGCTGTAGGCCGGGGCCATGGTGATTTCTGTCGTGGAGGTGGTCATCATGCTTGTTGAAGTGGTGGAAGTCTTCTCAGTAGAGCAGGGTACCACGGTTGTAATAGTGGTCACCTGGCATTCATTACATGGCTGAGTGACATAAGTAGTCGTAGTCCACTGAGCTGTCATAGTCGTATCCTTCACAGGAGGAGCCATGCTAGTCACAGTAGTCATAGGCTGCATCGTAGTCTGAGACATCATGACAGCAGTACTAGTATACCCAGGTGGTGGATGACACTGTGGTCGACAATCGCCAACCCATCCGTTATTCAGACAACCGCAACCCTTCGCGAGTGCCTTTGTGACCTCCATGGGGGACTTGCATTTCATCATGGCTTTCTTGTAGCTTTCCATCTGCGCAGCTGGCCATTCGACTTGTTGGAAATCGGCGCATTGGTAGTTACAGATCATGTCGGCGACTGCTAGTCCTTCTTTGGTACCGAATACCTCGTCGAGACAGTTACCGGCTGGCCATTCGCTCTTGCCTTCGTAGTCTTTGGGACATTCTTCCACTACGAGGTCAGTCTTCTTGGGGGGTTCGGCAGAGGTAGAGGTCATGGATGGTTGGGCGGTGTAAGGCTCTGGGGCGGTATAGACTGGAATGGCAGTGTATGGAGCAGGCATTGACGTATGAATTGCAGAAGTAGTAGACTTCATAACCACAGTTTCCGATGTAAGAGACCTAGTATCCTCCTTCGGACCCGTGCGCGGATAAACACAAGTTTTACCATTATCAAAGTCCTCCATGATACACCCACAGGACTGTGTCAAAGCAGTTACGAGCGACTCATGAGATCCGCATCTATCATGGAAGGTCCAGTAATAAATCATAGAACTGTGTTCCAAATCGACACCGCCCTCTTTCTTATTACAGAGCATACCGCAAAGCGCTTGCTTGTTCTTCAAAGGATAGTCTTCGATATGCTGTAAACAGTTCTTGGGTAGTGCTTTATCTTTGTTTGGACATGGCTTGACAGAACAGACCGGTGGCAGGGTTTCTGGCACAAGGTTTGTAGGTTTATCTGTTGGGACAAGACCGGTATACTTAGGATCGATACAGTTACAAATCTTCTTCAGCGCATAGGGGAGTTTATCGCCGCAGGCTTTATATCCTTCCTTGTATGCCTTAAGAGGCTCTGGATTAAGTTGGCCCCATTTGCCCCTATTCGATATAGTCGATACGGCCTCCTGGCAAAGCAGTTCTTTGGAATAGTCGCTCACTTCCGAAAGACATTCGTGGTCGGTACCGACTGGGGCATTATAGTCCTCGGGACCATCGTCCATGTCTGAGGCACCTGTAGGTTGTGAGCATAGATCCATAGTCATTACTATTTCACTGGGCTTTGTGGTGGTCGGGTGCGCCTTGGATGTCACTGCCTCGGCTGTGGTTTGGTAAGGCATGGCGGTCTTGGTTTCCATTGCGCTGGTGTAGGCCATAGGAGGTTTGGTGGGTTCCTCATACGCGGTTGATGATTCTTCCATGGTATCATACTTCACGGGTGTTTTAGTTGACTCTTCCGCGGTAGTATAAGCCATAGGAGTCTTAGTAGATTCTTCCGCGGTAGTATATGCCACAGGAACTTTAGTAGATTCTTCCGCGGTAGTATAAGCCACAGGAACCTTAGTAGATTCCTCCAGGGTAGAATACTTCACAGGAGTCTTAGTTGACTCTTCCGCAGTAGTATAAGCCACAGGAGTCTTAGTCGACTCTTCAGCGGTAGTATAAGCCACAGGGACCTTAGTAGACTCTTCAGCGGTAGTATAAGCCACAGGAGTCTTAGTCGACTCTTCCGCGGTAGTATAAGCCATAGGGGTCTTAGTAGGCTCTTCCTCTGTAGTATAAGCCACAGGAACCTTAGTAGACTCCTCTACAGTAGAATACTTCACAGGCGTCTTAGTTGCAGACTCTTCCACAGTAGAAGTCTCCTGCTTATCATAAGTAGCCGATGGAGCAGTAGTATAACCCCGTGGAGCTCCTGTAGTAGTAGTAGTAGTAGTTTCTTCTTCAACCATTGAAGTCTCTTGAGAATAAGTCTTAATGGCCGGTTTGCTAGAAGTGGTGTTTGGTTGCAGTGAAATAGTGTGGTAATGTGAAGGATGTTCTTTTGATGATGTGTCTTCGTTATGATACCCGCGGTTTGCGGTTGTGGTTGGGTGCATTGTGGTAGTAGATTCTTTTTCTGCTTCGATGGAGCTGGAGGCGACATGATATGGAACTTTTGTGTGGGATGGAGCGGCGTATTCGTGTTCTGTGGAGGTTTCTTCGATTTCGGTGTAAGCGCGAGATGCAGAAGTTTCTCCTATCTCGCTGTGGGATGTGGTTGTGTGTTTTGAAGTAGTGATCATGGTGCTGGTGGGTTCCTCGGTGAGGTATTTGGGCTTTTCATCCATCATGGAAGTAGTTGTCATGGGCTTCACGGATGAAGTAGTCTTTTCTTCCGTTTCGGTTGTAGCCTCCTCGGTGGGGTACCTGGGCTTCTCGTCAACAGTGGAGGTGTTTTTAATGGGCTTCACGGTTGAAGTAGCTTCTTGAGTTTCTTCCGTAGCCTCCTCAGTGAGATATTCAGGCTTCTCATCAGCCATGGAAGTAGTAGTCATAGGCTTCACGATCGAAGTAGTCTTCTGTTCAATCTCACCAGCAGTCTCCCCACCCAAATACTCAGGCTTCTCGTCCACCATAGAAGAAGTAGTCGTAGCCTTCTTAGTCTCCTGAGTCTCTTCCGTTGCAGAAGTAGTACTTGCGTTACCCTGATACCCCTTAGTAGCCGTCATAGAAGCATCATCAGTAGAAACCTCTGTAAACTCCGGGGACTCATCTTTAGTAGAAGTCGCCTTCTCCTCCTCCTTCTGCGTGGCAGTGGTGGTAATATACCCATTCCGGGTTACAACATCAGAAGCAGTTGGCTCCGCAGCCTCAGTCTCAACTTCCCCAGTAGAAGTCAAAGCCGAAGTCGACATCTGAGCATACCCAGCGCGTGTAGAAGTCTCAACCCCTTCAACACCCGTAGCCTCAACCGTCTCAGTACTTTCTTCAGCAGTGGCAGAAACAACCGGTTCAACCTCTTTAGTACTCTCAACCGGAAACGCCGTACTAGTAACCGCCCCAGTCCCCGCGGGTTTCCCCAGAATAATCTTACACTTCTCAGTCTTCCAATACTCATCCGCAAAACATCCGCACGTATCTTCCAACGCTTTAGCCACGGCTTCATGCGATCCACACTCCTTCTGCGCTTCATTATAAGCTTCTACACTAAACACTGCGCCCAAGGTATCATCTGCATTTTCTGGGTTTCCAGGTGTATATGGTTTCTTTAGGTCAAGGCGAGAACAGATCGCCGTACAGATTGAGAAACCTTCGACTTCGAGTTTGAGTTGCGAAAAGCAGGATTTGGCGATTTGTGCGTCTTTTTTGGCCGGGGGGCAGGATTTGACGTCTGTGGCTGCGGTGAGGGCGGTTAG